TTACTTTATCTTTACTTTCACTTATACAAAACTATCCGAACTGTTGTATCTATCAGTAACACGCCCGATTTTCTTTGTTAGTTGCTGCGTGACGCCTCGCCCGGTCCCGGCAGCCCTCTGCACCGCAACACAGCCTCCCCGGGCCTAGAGCACGCCGAAAGTTGCAGAGAGATTAGAGAACTCACCCGGGACATCCCACCGCCCAGAGTGAGTGATGACACGCTGATGCAGCGGCACTTGGATGTGTTCTAAACTGGTCCGATACTCACCATGCTGCCTGTGCCCCTCGCAGACTCCGCCGGCTAACTACCGCCAGCGTGTGCAGGTGCAGCAGTACCATAGCCTGCCACGCCAGGCTGATCCGCTGGCAGATGTCGGCTCTCCTCAGGCCGGGGAGAGTGCAGCGCAGACCACAGTTGCTACGAACGGGTCAAACGGGACGAGCAACGGCATCAGGAAGGGCGTCGCCTTTGGTAAAGGATTTCTCAACTTTTCGCCTAGACGGTCTGTCGGGGATAGGTGTTCTTCTACGCCTAATCTAGGTGAAAAGACTGAAAGAGTGAAAAGATGCTCGCCTGTGTTTGGGTTTGAAATGATATGTATTAACTCTGCCTGGTTTTGCCTTTTAATTTGTTTGTACCCGGATTGATTGCTCTTCAAATGTATTGAATTTCTTTTCTTACTCATATGGGACTCATACTTCATTTTTTTAGGGCATTTACATTTAATGGTCCTTTTACAGAGTGTTGTGGCTTGAGCAATGGGCATGAAATCAATGCTAAACACATTTTCAGTCATTTACCTCCTAGTTCTCTTTTCTTTACCTTTTCTAACTCTGCTCTTTGTTATCATGTGTTTACCCTCTTTGAATTTAAGCATGATTTCCTTATGTGACTTAACTCCTTTAAAGATAAACAAAGAAATAGATGTTTTTTTTTTTTTTAATTCAGGCAACAAATGGCAATGCAGCATGTACTTGAATTTTACGTTTTTATCCTTAAAATTTCTAATTGTATTACACTGGCACTGATGGTATAAACAATAACTGTCCCCCGCATGCTAGATGGCAAAATTGTCACTATATCATATTGTCAAACACCAACCAACGTCAAGTCTAACAACCCTTGAATTGCTTCTGATCTGTTCCATTTTAGCTGACACAGAACGCGTGTCCCAAGATGAAAATGACAGAAGCTTGGCATTGAGTCTGTCTCCACAACCAAGTCCTTCTATGTCATCTTCAAAATCCAAAGGAATAAAAAAAATTCTTGGACGGTAAGCTTTTAGTGTTCCTATTTGACTTAAAATTGTACTTCTGTAATACCAACGACTGAACATCTTTCCTTGATTTATTTACAGAATGAAAAGGAGTGGCTCTGGTAATTTAGATGACATCCATAATGAAGGAGAATTTCGTAGAGGTGGTGTAAGAGCAACCGCAGGTGGACGTCTTGGTTGGTCCTCGTCTTCCAATGCACTGAGGTAAGTGTGTTTGCTGATAATACCACTTCTTATTCCTAGTTTTTCTGATAAATTCTCTGATTTTTACCATCTATTTTTCAGTTCAAGAGCCCAAGTTCCATTTGCTCAGTGGGATAGAGAAGCCATCAGTGAATGGCTGTGTGCTTTGGGGCTTGAACATTGTGCTCAAGAAGGGCAGGGCTGGATTGTGAGCGGGGCTCAACTCCTATCATCATCCCCTCACGATTTAGAAAAAGAGTTAGGTCTTAAGGTAACTATTTCAAATCATTTCTTATAGATCATTTAGTTGATTTATTTACCTATAAAGTTTTCAATCCTATTTCATATATCTACAGAACCCTTTGCACAAAAAGAAACTACGCCTAGCTCTTCAAGAACGCACAGACACTGGTCTAGCATCTGATCCTCAACTAGGACTTGCTGGACATCTCGATACATGTTGGGTTCTCCGCTGGTTGGATGACACAGGTACACATCGTCACTAAATCATATTTTATGTTTTATGCAGTGTTTGTAAACTAGATTTTTTCTGAGTATCCTCTTCCTCCTCCTGGTCTTCAGGACTTATAGTTTCTTCTGACTTCTTCTTAGACGTCTGACTCGGAGCTTTGCTTGTTAATTTTTCTGATAGGTCAGGTGGAAGGAACTCAGGGGGATTTGTGACTGGCAAGGGTTCACTGTCCATTATACTTATTGCTCCATGGGAGGGCTGGGCATGTGGGTTTTCAGCTGCCTTTCTCTCTGCAATGATGTCCAATTCTTCTGGGGTTCGTGGTAAAGCATGGTGTTCTACACCACCCTCACGTAAATCTTCTATGTCTGATGAATCCTCTCGAAATCGTACACTTTCAAGGTCCTCCCGGACCCCGCCCTGTCAGGGCAGAGAGGGTGGCATTAGTAGACAGTCCTATATTTTTGTTTACTGATGAAGTCTATTTAAAAATCGATTAGGTCGTATTGTACTATTTGACCAAAACTGAGTTTGTCAATATTTCAAAGGTTCTCTGCCTAGTTTTAGCCACCCCCTCCTCCCATTTTACAGGGCTTCCACAAGTGAAAGATCAATTCAGTGCTGCTCGGATTGATGGAAGAATGCTGCACCGTTTCACCATGGATGACTTGGCAGCACTTCATGTGACATCCCTGTTGCATGTGGCCAGCATACGCACTGGTATCCAGGTATGGTGAAATTTCAGACAACTCTTTGCACCTGACTTGTAGCTTACCAAAGAAAGTTAAAATTATTAATGAATGTGTAGGTACTGAGGGATCATCGATTTGACCCCAACTGCCTTGTAAGAAGATCTGGCCCTACTGAGGATATTGAAAATGGAATCGAGGAGAAAAACGGAAAGGATCAGATTCCTGGAGGCCCAAACAATGAAGTTGTCTTGTGGACCAATCATCGAGTCATGGAATGGCTCCGTGTTGTAGACCTTGCAGAATATGCACCAAACCTTCGTGGCTCAGGTAGTCTTTTTATCAATTTCTTTTCCGTATTCGTTGTCAAAATTTTTCTAATTAACACTGTACTCTCTGTCAGGTGTTCATGGAGGACTAATGGTCCACGAACCACGATTCACTGCTGAACTTCTTGCTAGTCTGCTGTCCATTCCTCCCAGCAAAACCCTTCTGAGACGACATCTCAGTACCCATTTTAAAGAACTATTGGGAAAAGAAGCGATACAGGCTAAGAGACAGGCCGAAGCTGCTTTAGGTCACACCCCTCTTACACCAACTGCCAAGATCAAGGTTAAAATTAGATAAAAACAGAAATTCTTCTGTTCGCGGATCAGATAATCAATCTTAGATCACAGCAATTCACTTTATTTAATTACTTTTCAGGTTCCAAAGAAAAGCCAATTTTCATTGAAACGTCAAAAAACTAAAGCTGAGGTGGAATTTGGTGACTTGGTCTGCCCTCTAGAGAATTGCCCAGTCACTATAGTGGATATCAGCTCAGGTGACAGAGGAGTGGGTGATGGCGTAAGTTACTAACAGTACTAACCAGTAACATACTACATTGTGTGATCTACTTGAATTTGCCCCTAAACTCTCATAATTAATTTACCCTTTCAAATCATTCGGTACCAAAAGTAGGTGAGTTGAGGTCATAGTGAACCTGGGGCAATATTAAAGAATGTTGCATTTACATCTCATTTGATCTTGTCGATCTTGTCGATCTTGTCGATCTTGTCGATCTTGTATCTCAAAACCGTTGCAGTTTTTATACGCATACTCTCTGAACCGTTGCACTGAGGCTATGAAAACGCCACAATGTAGAGAGACCTATAATGTGGAAAAGGCACCCAAAAGTACGCTACCCATAAAATATTGATTCATGTGTGGTCACTGTGACCGCAACTCACCTACCCTTTAGTACAAAAAGACTATTTCCTGTCATTATGATAGGCTTTCAAGTATGCTAAAATTAATTGCCATAAACCAAAATTTGGAAAGCTATTTGTATTAATAAATATTATGCTTTGTTTTATTAATTATGAATCTTTTACTTAAATTACACAACTAAAATTCTAATATATTAAGTGTGAAGCTCTCTTAATCTGGTAATGGCTGCTGGCTGGGTGGTGCTGGACAGTTACAGACACAGCTACTTTCACCCTCTTTCTCAACCTATAGCAGTTGCATGTTTTTATTCCTATTCCTGCTGCCCTTTTATCTTAGACTAGTGCTGCTTTAGTTTAATGGTCTTTTCTTGCTCTTCTAGTTCTTGATCTAATTGGTTGCATGCAAGTAATATTATTTACACATTGGTTTTATCATTGTAAAATATTTAGGAGTTTATGTGGTAAGATATTCCTGAGGTTTCTTAAGCTTTCCTTTGTCTTGGCCATGGTGTCTGATAAATTGAAATCACAGCATGATAGACAAACCTTTCCAGGAATCATTTTTGTTTCACAGAGGCATTGTATCATATCATTTTGTATTGTAATGTAATATGCATGTTTTGCATGGTGTTGCGTATGGTTTGCAGACGAAAGTAGCAGTCCATCCAAAACACTCGGTTGCTTGTCTGGAAAGTGAAGCGCACTCCAATACACAGGTACAAGCACTACCCAGCCATTGCATTCTCCATTCAAACAAAGATTTTCTCTATTAAAGTCAAAGAAGGGAATTTTTCATCAATTAGACTACTTATGTCATCTTTCTACTTTCTCTACAGGACTCACATAGTGGAAGAACAAGCACAGTCTAAAAACGACAGTTGAAATGGACCAAGGACCAATGCCTGATGCCATCAAGCAAGATGACACATTTGCTGTAGACTCAAGGACTAGATCATCATCACATATCCTGGAGGATTTTTCCCTGAAGAATCTTTCATATTTCCATGGGTAAATTATGTGGGCTTAGCTTACCGTGTACAAATATTTTGGAATAAGCTGGAATCATTACCCTATATTATTTTATGTTGTGACTTGCTTGTGCATCTGATAAGCAGAACACTTTCTGCCTCTGTCCTGCCTCTGCATGAACATCTTTGCCTGTATTTGTGAAGTTGATAAGCAATTTGGGATTGTTTAGACAAACCGAAGAAAATCATGATTCGGCTTACCATTATAATTCATAATATTTTGATTTTTTTTGTTTAAATGCACTTGTTACCATGACCACCTGTACCTAAGTTATGACATTAACTGAAATTGACTCGATGATTCGTAAGTAACTTGGTATATTTATCTCCATATTTTCTTAAGATGAACCATGATGTTTTAATGGTCTCAAATTTATTTGAAACCAGATGTGCCCATTTCCTCCCTTTGTCCAAACAAAGCCAAAACAGTGACTGCTAAATACTAATGGACTGTAGTCCTTTGGATACGAGTAGTAGTACCCATACCCATGTTTCCATATCATTTGTTAAAAGGAAAATTTTCAATTGCCATATGCATTTATCGCAATTTACTCTACTTTCCTGTGAATTGTGTCTGATAATTTCTAATTTTATTTTCTAGTCACACCCAATTTTTTATTTCTTTAAATATCAGTCGGTTACAGATCCTTATTCTTGTAGATTTTCATAAGCTAATCTATTTTTATATATTTCGTATCCCTCTTAATACAACAATGAAACATTAACAGATGTTTCTCCTAGGGATACTGTTATTTACTCAACTTTCTGAAGTGCATATCTTAATATTACTGTACCTCTTTTATTTAGGAAATATATTCCTATCTAGCGCAATGTGTTATATGCGCTACATATTAGTTTTATTTACCTTTAATCACAAACTGTTACTACGATAATGTCAAAATCATTTTATGCCTGAATTGTTCTAGTATTGCCCTGGCTGGTGGTAGTAAATATTTATATGATTCATTATTCAAATGTACCCATATTTAGTTGTTGCTTAACTTGATGTAGTGTCAAACTAGGGTAGGGTGACAACAAGTGAGGAAGAGAAATTCACTTCATAGTGATTTTGTTTGATTTTGCCTATTTCTTGGCCATATAACGTTACACACAAGTGAATTAGTTTAAAACCTGCCAAATGTAGTTTATTTGGTACAGCTCTTGAGCAATATATCAGATTTCTTTGTGTTGTATAAAGTGTACTATATTTACCTTGTCCCACTGGTGCCTTAATTAAATGCTGTTGTAGTCTATACAATCATTTAGTCACAGTGTTAGGGGAGTAATGAAATTTTCTCATGACTGATGGTTGTTGACATGTGGACATGTAGCTATGTTTGGTTTATTGCTGTGTAAGTAAGGTAGCTAAACTTGAAGCATCAAATGTTCCTGTGATTTATTGCTCTTCCATGCCTGTCTTACTTTTATTTAAGTATCTCAAGGAAAAACCATTTCTGGTGCTCTTTGATTTAAAAAGTTAAATATTTTAAATGTATGAACAAAAACAAGTCTTCTATCCAACTGTAGTATGTTGCATACATACGCATGCAAGGACCAAGTAATTATATTTGTAACTGTTGCCAAATGGTACATAACGCACTTACCTTACCATTTACTAGTACGTTGGTATTTCACAATCTTTTTCTCTGTGTGCCAATGTGACAATAATATCTTCCTCTTGCATAAAAATTACAATTTAAAAAGTGTTTTTGTGAATTGGTTTGTTGCCAAAATTTGTCGCATGATAGCATAGATGTTAAGTACTGGAGTAACGCACACCATTTGTGTTCTCACCTAACATGTTGTACCATACAGTAAAATTGTTGTTTTTTTTGTTTCTTTTTTCGAACTGTAAACACTAGGAAGATCAAGATTTCTGCCAAAGTTTCAGTATTCATTTCTCTTACAAATCACTGTCTGAATGTTTGCTATTGTTCTTTGTACAGAGTAATGTGAAGTTAATAAAATTAATCAGTGTTAAATTTTGATTTCTCCCCCTTTGCAATATTGATTGGCCTTAGGCCTCCCCTACTCACCTGCTCGGAAGGGCCCGTCGCCGGAGCCGTGGGGACAAGAGCGGGTCCGGTGGACTCTGCCACGTCCTGCGACCAGAGCAGACCAGCACTAGGTCAGCTCCCCACTCACCTCCGACACGCTCTTGTCCGCTCAAGTCTCAACCCTTACCCTCCTCATCCTCTGCTCCCGCTCGCTCAGGGCCGCGTTCAGTGCGTTGGTCTCCGCGGCCGTGCAGGTGGCCAGCCGGGGGTCCATGGCGATCCAATCCGACGCCAAGATCGCGTCCACCTGGTAGCGGCGCTGTGTGTCGGGCTCCAGCATGTTGTAGATCAAGTTCTTGACCTGGAACAACCACGCCGCCGGCCACGCTTAGTTACCGGAGTCCAATGGGTTGCCTGCCTTCCGGGCGGAGGCTCGCCACTGCAGCCGCCACACCTGGACGAAACGTGGCCCGACCCGAACCCTCCCCCCTCAGAACTCTCGAAAGTGCCCGCAAGTCGGGGAAGGCCGTGCCCGCCCCGCACAGACCTGATCGCTGAGTATGTCCACGACGCTCGCGCAGAAGCGCCACCTCCTCTGGATCTGCTCGTCGTGCAGCCGGTTGATGTTGCTGTCGTCGAACGGCATGGCCTTGTTGAGCATGATGTAAAGGACGACGCCGAGCGACCACACGTCCGAGATCTTGGGGTCGTACTGCTCGGCGCGGAGTATCTCGGGTGCGGCGTATGAGAGCGAGCCGCAGTTGGTGCCGCTGAGGACGCGACGGCCGCGGGCGTCCTGGAGCAGGGCGAGCACAGGGTGAGCAGCCTGGCCGGGCCGCAGGAGGCGCACGAGGAGACCGCACCCACCACACAGTACCGCGCGAAGCCGAAGTCCGCGAGCTTCACGTTGTAGTTGGTCGTGATGAGGACGTTCTCGCACTTCAGGTCCCGGTGCGCGATCTCGAGCGCCTGGAGGTACTGGAGCGCGAGCGTCAGCTGCCGCAGCCACACGCGGCTCTGGCCCTCGGTGACGGCGCCGTGCTTCAGCACCCAGTCCAGCAGGTCGCCCTTCTCCGCCAGCCGCATGAAGATGAAGTACCTCGAGGTGGAGGACGGAGAGTCAAGCCCGCCTTGTCTCCAATCGCTGTCGCAATACCCGCCCCGCCCCTTGTTGGGTTGCTCGTCGCTCACTTAGTCCTCCGCTGGAAGATGGAGTGCACGTGCACGATGTGGGGGTGGTTGAGCCTCTTGAGTATGTCCAGCTCGCGCGGGAGGAACCTCCGGACGAAGTCCCTCGGCGCCCTGGACGTGTCCACCACCTTGCACGCCAGGTACACCTTCCTCCTCTGGTCGTTGGGTGGAATATACGAGGCCATGTACACCTGAAGCAGAGATAGGGGGAGAGAACCATTCCCAGCACTGGTGTTTAGTCAAATTAGGATCGTAGGAGGTAAAATGTATTGCATGTGACCAATTTAATTTCATTTTAGCCAAACCAAACCCGAATTGTCATTATTGTTCAGTCGACACCACCAAAATTTGGTTTTAAAATTTTCTAGGATTCCGTTTTGTTCTCCAATCACACTCACGGTTTTGTGGGCCGCGCTTACCTTAGCGTAAGTGCCCTCGCCCAGCTTCCGTATGAGGCTGTAGCCCCGAGTGTTGAGGGTGCCCGAGACCTCGGACAGACTCAGGCTGGCCTGCTCCCTCTGCTCCGCCATGAGCGGCCCGGGCACCGGCACCGGCGGCGGGGGCGGCACGGCGGCGACGGGGACAGGGCGTCATCGTGCACCTGCCGCGGCCGGCGGGGTCCGGGATCGCCGGGGGCGGGCGGGGCCGGGCGGGCCAGGCAGCAGGCTCATGCGCCGACCCGCGCCCACCGCGGCTCCCTGGGCACGCGCCCGGTCACCAGCACCCACCTGCAGCAGGGCGATCTGAAGGCAGGGCACCCACCGTCGAACGCCTCAAAAGAACCGCGGAGCGCTCTCTAATCGCTTCCTGCTGGTGCGACCGCGTGGTGATCGCAGGGACTCTTTTTGGTTGCGGAGTCTATATATGAGCAATTGTTTGTATACAAATGGATATCGCAGGAGTCTTGCCTCAGGTGGGCCAACAGTCGCTGGTCATGGCGGCCGAGCAAGCGTGCGACCGAGCGGCGCTCCCGTTGGGGTGGCTCTCTGGGGGCGGGCCGCCTCCAGCGCGCCTCCAGCGGCGGGGCGCGGGCGCGGCGCTCGTCCCGGACCGTCCCGGACGGGCGCAGGCGGGACGCGCGGGCGAGAAGGGGAGGCGGAGGACGTTCTCCGCGAAGGGGCGGCGCGGAGGGGGGAAGCATTGTTGGCCGGACGCCACAAAAATGAACACTTTGCTGGGGGGCCGAGTGGGTCTGGGTCATTGCCCTCATGACGCGTGCGGGTATGATGTCGTTTGGATTCCGCAAAGACGCCCGATATGGCAAGAAGAAGCTGGTGCACGCAGTAGTTTCAGTTTTTTGCTGGGCACGCCCCCTCCCCCGCTGCCCCAATCAGCACTGGCCCGCGAGGCCGAAGCAACTAGCGCCAACGCCCCGGGCGGGGCTGGGTGTGCCGAGCCGAGCCGGCAGGGCCGAGTCGCGGGGCAGAATATTGTGCAAGCGCCACAGGTTCATTCACTCAAACGGGGCTTGAACCGCGAGGCGCGCGCGCTGCCCGAGCCGAGCTGCCTGCTGTAGCCTGGTGTGCGCAAGGGGCCGCCCGGGCGGCGCGCATTTTTGTGACGTGATTCGTTTAGAAGGGTGGTTATTGTTTTGAGCCGCGACCCCTCTGGGTGTATACTGTGCCGCATACAGGCGTGCAGGCGGGCTTGCGTCACGGCCCCGTGCCAGTGGGCAACGCGTTTGCACGCCTGCATTGCGGCACAGTATACCCAGACGGGGTTCGGCTGAAAACACTCACTAACCTTGTATCTCAGGGCACGTAAGTACCGTGTCAGCAGGGCTAGGAAACCGCAATACGTCCTGCCCGACTCTGCACATGTAAGACGCCGCATGGTACCCGGTGCTGTTTCGTAGCCCTGACACACGGCTAAAGGGGAAGAAGATACTCGACGACGATTGTCTGGACGACAGATATCATCTGTTCTACCTGCTATATCAGGGGTGGGATGCTGGAAGCTCGTGGAAGCCCAATTGACATCCTAATGTCCTCCATCACCCAAACACCCGAGTTGGTCCGCCAGCGAACCCAGCCGGGGCGCCAACAGGCACTTCTCTTGTCATTACGCAGCGTTTTTCCCCTCGATACCCCTCGAAGGATTGATTTCAAGTAATGAGGTGCCGAAGGGGGGGGGGGGCTCTTTACTGGCGCCAATGGAAGGAGTCGTCTCGGGGGTATGTCGCGAGCGGGCAGGGCCCCAGGTAGAAGAGTAAAGAACACACGCTCGTGAGCATCCACAGAAAAAGTGGCGATTAGAGGCAGAAATGCGTTGTCAAATCGTTTTAGGACAAAGGGGAGGGCAAAGGCTAAAAGAACTGTGCAAAATTTTTGAGATGGATCATGGACTTATACGCCCTACGCCCTTCTCATATAAAACCAGCCTACCGAAGGAGAGGAGGCTGCTACAGACGCGGGGGCAAAGAAGTCAGCGAGGACGAGCACTGCAAAACAGGCGAGACGGAAGAGTCCCTTCGTGGCGCTGGAGTGAGTCGTGCCACAGCACAGCCCGTGCTGGAGCTGGAGCCTGGCTGCCGCTCTGGCGGGCGTGGCCGCGCCGGCCCGGCGCGGCCGGGAGCTGTTATTTGTTTTTATCAATTCTGGTAGCCAGATCTTGGCGCCTCTGGTCCGCGCCGCGCTGCGGGCGCCCTGCGGCCGCGCCACGCCGGGGCCTACCGGGCTGGGGGCCGCCGGGGGGGCCCAGGTAGCAAACAGTACATTAGTCTGGAGTGGCCCGCCCCCGGCCCGGCCGGCCGGCGCTCCGTCCCTTGAGGCGCCGCCGCGCCAAGCCGCACCACCCCGCGCCACGCCGCGCCGAGCCTCTCTGCCACCCAATTCCAG